CAGTCTGATCACTGGGGGAGGGGAGACTGAGGAAATGCTTCCTCCTCCTTCTACAAAGTTACAATGTACAGTCTGATCACTGGGGGAGGGGAGACTGAGGAAATGCCGCCTCCTCCTCCTACAAAGTTACAATGTACAGTCTGATCACTGGGGGAGGGGAGACTGAGGAAATGCCTCCTCCTCCTACAAAGTTACAATGTACAGTCTGATCACTGGGGGAAGAGACTGAGGAAATGCCTCCTCCTGCCTGCAGCAGACTGATGATCTTTTTTCGGCGTCTGTGAGCGATCTTTGAACATGTGACCACTTTTGGGGGTTGAGGAAATAAAGCCCCCAAGACCCCCCTGTTCCCGCCGGTGAAGACACGCCCCCCGAAGACCTTGGCTCTGGCTGCCATTGCGGTTTATGAAATGGAGATTCTCTCTCCCGGCTCTCTCTGGTGCTGCTGTCGCCGGGTCATGTGATCTCTTCTACAAGGGGGGGGGGGGGGGGGGGGGGGGGCGCTGATCTCCACGGGACGTCGGTGCTGGCAGAGATCACCTGACCCAATGTGCAGGCTCTTGTTGTGGCACTGGGGGGGGGGCTCTTGGTTTGGCACTGGGGGGGGGCTCTTGGTTTGGCACTGGGGGGGGGCTCTTGGTATGGCACTGGGGGGGGGGCTCTTGCTTTGGCACTGGGGGGGCTCTTGGTTTGGCACTGGAGGGGGCTCTTGGTTTGGCACTGGGGGGGGGGGGCTCTTGCTTTGGCACTGGGGGGGCTCTTGGTTTGGCACTGGAGGGGGCTCTTGGTATGGCACTGGGGGGGGGGGCTCTTGGTTTGGCACTAGGAGGGGCTCTTGGTTTGGCACTGGGGGGGGCTCTTGGTTTGGCACTGGGGGGGGCTTTTGGTTTGGCACTGGGGGGGACTCTTGTGGCACTGGGGGGGACTCTTGTGGCACTGGGGGGGGGCTCTTGGTTTGGCACTGGGGGGGGCTCTTGGTTTGGCACTGGGGGGGGGATCTTGGTTTGGCACTGGGGGGGCTCTTGGTTTGGCATTGGGGGGGCTCTTGTCGTGGCACTGGGGGGAGGCTCTTGTCGTGGCACTGGGGGGGGCTCTTGTGCGCTGGGGGAGGCTCTTGTTGTGGCACTGGGGGGAGGCTCTTGTTGTGGCACTGGGGGGGGGCTCTTGTTGTGGCACTGGGGGGGGGCTCTTGTTGTGGCACTGGGGGGGGGCTCTTGGTTTGGCACTGGGGGGAGGCTCTTGTCGTGGCACTGGGGGGGGCTCTTGTGGCACTGGGGGGGGGCTCTTGGTTTGGCACTGGGGGGGTTCTTGGTTTGGCACTGGGGGGGCTCTTGTTGTGGCACTGGGGGGGGGCTCTTGTTGTGGCACTGGGGGGAGGCTCTTGTTGTGGCACTGGGGGGGGGCTCTTGTCGTGGCACTGGGGGGGGGGGGGCTCTTGGTTTGGCACTGGGGGGAGGCTCTTGTCGTGGCACTGGGGGGGGGGCTCTTGTGGCACTGGGGGGGGGGCTCTTGTGGCACTGGGGGGGGCTCTTGGTTTGGCACTGGGGGGAGGCTCTTGTTGTGGCACTGGGGGGGGCTCTTGTGGCACTGGGGGGGGGGGGTGCCTAGCAGCAGTTTCCCCAAAGAAGCTCCTCCACCATAGCCAGCCTAGCTGTACGTTGGCGTTGAACCCGCGTTGTCCGGCGTTGGAGGGGTTACAGGGAGGAGACCGGTGGCCCCCACTGCAGAACCGTCCCGCGGACACTCATATGTGAAGCATGTTGGCAGTGTGGGAGGCCCCCCCTCCCCCGGCAGCCCGGACCTGGTTTCTATCAGCGGTGAATTACTTTCTGTGGTGTTTGTGACCAGAAGAGGAGTGGTGGGGAAAAACGATCGTTCTGCAATGTTGGGCTGAGAAATGAAATAACTCTTCGTGTGCCGGCAGCGCACAGCGCAGGACGATCGCTAGGAAGGTCCGCCTCCGGCGCCGATGGGGTTATTGCGTCCGTCACGCCAGGACTTCACTCCCGAGAGATCGCCGCCGTATGATCTCACAATAAACCCGTGTAACGGTTTCCTGCGCTCTGTTCTCCGGCGATCGTCCGCTGGGCTGGCCGGTCCTCTTCCTCCCCCCCCTCCCCTCCCCCGGCTTCTCATCATGAAGCGATTTCCCTGGTGGTCCTTGTGAGGAGCAGATCTCCGGGACCGCCGATCATGTACTTCTGGGGTGAGTACCTTCTGCTCCGGGTTAGGGGGGTCTCCCGTCAGTCGCCTACTAAATTAGATCGCAAGCTCCTCGGTACAGCCGACGCATTTTGTCATCTGAACCCCAACGGCGCCCGCGGCGTCCAAATCCACTTTTAGGAGCTTCGCGGCTGGAAACGCTTTCGGGGATTTCTGGGGAAATTTAAAAAAAAAACTACTTTGGGAGCCAAATACAGAATATTGGAATACAGATCGGGAAAGGTTGTTCGTTCTTCTTCTGGATGAACACTGGAGGGGGAGTTGGATGGACATCAGCCGGCTCTGTAACAATGTAACAAATATTTGGTTGGTGGTTCTTCTTCTGGATGAACACTGGAGGGTGAGTAGGATGGACATCAGCCGGCTCTGTAACAATGTAACAAGTAATGATTACAATATATCTGACTTTCAATCTCCACTGTTCATCCAGAAGTAGCAATTCGATGGACATCCATTAATTTATTTGTAACAATAAATATTTGGTTGACGGTTCTTCTTCTGGATGAACACTGGAGGGTGAGTTGGATGGACATCAGCCGGTTCTGTAACAATGTAACAAATATTTGGTTGGCGGTTCTTCCTCTGGATGAACATTGGAGGGTGAGTTGGATGGACATCAGCCGGTTCTGTAACAATGTAACATTAAATAACTATTCCAATATATTTGACTTTCAGCCTCCACTGTTCATCCAGAAGTAGCAATGCGATGGATATCAGCCGGATTTGTTTGTCACAATGTAACAATGGGGTTTATCTACTAAAGCTGGTTCCTCTGCAGAGGAGCCAATCAGCTTCCGGGTTTTATTGTTGAAGCGTCATGGAACCAGCTGAAGCTAGAAGCTGATTGGCCGCCATGCTCCGGATTCGGAGTGCTCCAGCTTTAGTAAATCCCCCCCAAAGTAACATTCATTAGCTGTTCCATGTTTGTTTGGCTTCGCTTCCTCTGGATGAACACTGGAGGGTGAAGTGGATGGACCTCGGATGGTTTTGTCTGTAACAATGTAACAATAAATAACTATTCGTAAATATTTGACTTTCAACCTCCACTGTTCATCCGGAGGGAGCAAAGCTGATCGAATAGTCTGTCGTATCGAATCGTTATTTATTGTTACATTGTTACACAGATAAAAAGCCAAACTGGCCAATGTGTTTATCCAGAGGAAGCAATCTGGACATAAATGGGGGGGTGTTTGTAACAATGTATGCATACCTCTGGATGAACGCTGGAGGAGGAGCTGGATGGACATACATAGTGTTTATTTGTAACAATGTAACCATAAATACCTCTTAGGAAATATTTGGTTGGCTTTGCTACCTCTGGATGAACGCTGGAGGGTGAAACGCTTCGACATCAGTAACAATGTAACATGAAATATCAATGATGTAACAATTGGTGTGTCCGGTACTTTCTGCCTCTGGAGGATGACTTGGACTTCGGTCGGTTTTGTTTGTTACTTTGTGACATGAAACAATGGATGGAGTTGGTACTTCTGGACCAAAATTGGAGCCAAGAGGTCAAACCAAAATGAAAATCTGTTTTGTATGTAACAATGTAACATGAAAGTCGATGCAAACCCTGATAGTTTATTGAAGCAATGATCATCGGAAACAATTTTTCTTTTTTTTGTGTTTTCGTTTCCTTTTTTTCCTTCTCGAGTCTCGGTGCTGCTGATCTCCTGCAGCCTCTTTGCAGCCCCTTCCTGTCTCCATGCACCCCCAGTGATGGCGGCACGGCACTTCTCGGGGCGAGATTCCTGACGGTGACAACGGCTGGCCAAACCTGCGTGAGATGACCTGTAACTATGGCCCTGCCTTCCGGATGAGGCTGTGACAGGGTGACCACACAGGAGCAAATTGGGAGATGGGGACCAAGTGTTGTCACCCGATAACAGGAAGTTGCCAAACAGTCTTTCTTGGCGGGATCACCGGGAACTATTTCAATGGAAGCTGCAGGTTTACAAATGTCGAAAATGATTGGTAACACATTAGAGCCTCTGTGAGATCTTGGGGTTGTCGTTGCGCCATCACGTTGTTGCGCCATCACGTTGTTGCACCATCACGTCGTTGCGCCATCTATATAAACGGCGATTGGAGGAAGTTCGGTGGGTGTTGCTGCCGCTGGAGGTTGGATTTGATGGACTTTAGTTGCATTTTTATTACCTGCGCAGGTTTTGCTTCCTCCTCTGTAGTCCGGCGCAGTGACTGTGCTTTGCTGTTCCGCCATGTTTGTTGCGCGGCTCGTTCTGCCGCCGTTCTGCCACGGTTAGTAATATCCACATTGGAAGGATCTGCATTTCCTCATTCCTGAGGCCCGCCCACCTTCCTGCATTGAGACAGATCAGGAAATGGGCGACCTACCTTGTGACCCGATCATCACTAATTCTAGGCTCGTGTTGGTGATTTCCTTGATGGCTCTGAATATGTCCTCAGATCTCAGCACCAGCCAGCCGTGGATCTGATAGGGGGAGGTTGCACAGCACAGTCATGTGAGCCTGCAATCTCACCCAGAAGCACTGTGAAAAGCCTGCTGAATTCTAGAATGTGTACAATGATTTGGGAGTCAGACCTCATCGTTTCCTGGACTGCTGGGTAGTATTGTGGGCGTCTCATCACAAGTCACACCGGGGTCCTGCGTCTTCTCCTTGCACTGGAGCCCGGCTGCTTGTCTTCAGTAAAGGAAACCTGTCAAATACAGGGGCTCCTCCCCTTCAGTCTTGCACAGGTGTTCCGGCTCCTCCCCTTCAGTCTTGCACAGGTGTACCGGCTCCTCCCTTTCAGTCTTGCACAGGTGTACTGGCTCCTCCCCTTCAGTCTTGCACAGGTGTACCGGCTCCTCCCCTTCAGTCTTGCACAGGTGTACCGGCTCCTCCCTTTCAGTCTTGCACAGGTGTACTGGCTCCTCCCCTTCAGTCTTGCACAGGTGTACCGGCTCCTCCCCTTCAGTCTTGCACAGGTGTACCGGCTCCTCCCCTTCAGTCTTGCACAGGTCTGCCGACTCCTCCCCTTCAGTCTTGCACAGGTGTATCGGCTCCTCCCCTCCAGTCTTGCGCAGGTGTGCCGGCTCCTCCCCTCCAGTCTTGCGCAGGTGTACCGGCTCCTCCCCTCCAGTCTTGCGCAGGTGTACCGGCTCCTCCCCTCCAGTCTTGCACAGGTGTACCAGCTCCTCCCCTTCAGTCTTGCGCAGGTGTATCGGCTCCTCCCCTACTGTCTTGCGCAGGTGCAGCGGCTCCTCCCCTCCAGTCTTGCGCAGGTGCAGCGGCTCCTCCCCTCAAGTCTTGCGCAGGTGTAGCGGCTCCTCCCCTTCAGCCTTGCACAGGTGCGCCGGCTCCTCCCCTACTGTCTTACGCAGGTGTACCGGCTCCCCCCCTTCAGTCTTGCACAGGTGCGCCGGCTCCTCCCCTCCAGTCTTGCACGGGTCTAGCGGCTCCTCCCCTCCAGTCTTGCTCAGGTGTACATGAGGACTCTTGAGGGGAGTACTGAGGCAGGGGGGCTGTGATGTTTTCAGGAAGTTATGTATAGCCCCCTGCCAGCCCCTCCCACAAGCCATGATCTGTCTGCATTGCATAGAGAAGCGCGGAGACCCAGTGATGACATCACTCGGTCTATAATAAGGTATCTAATGATGAAGGGTTGATGGGGGGGGAACCAGGGAAGACTATAACTATATGCAGATTTACCTTCAGCTTTGATGATCCAGAAAAAGTGCAAAATACCCAGAAATCTGTCTTCTCCAACTTCTGTTGTCTGTCTGTCCTTGGCTCAGGCATATAGAGGCTGGATGCAGCCCAGCCAGGGAACTGGCATTCCTCTGCATGTCTCCTGAATTGGGGGTGTGGCCTGGGAGCAGAATACACCTAGAAATAACACCGTATGCTGGGCGCTGCCATTCTTGTCACAAAGTATCGCCCCGAACATCGGGACAACCAGAGAGGGTGTGCGGCCCGTTCCCCCCCCCCCCCCCATGTGCGGCCTGTCCCCCCCCCCCCCAACCCGTGTGCAGCCCCGTCTCCCCTGTGTGCTCAGTGGGCAATGAGATCTTTGTATGGACTGTCCCTTTAAATCGTACTTAAGGGGCCAGAAGCAGTATGGAGCGCGTGTCCCCGGGGCAGCGCCATGGGTGTGGCCGGGGTGTGGCCTGGGACGTGGGTGGGTCGCTCTCGGCTGCCTCCACTTCTCCATCCAGCGAGGAGGAAACGTGGAAGACATGATGCATGAGGAGGAAACAGCTGCGTTTTCCTCCTCTTAAAGGGGAAGTAACAGATTATTTTTACAAAGTGCCATTTTTGAGCTGTTTATTGTAACTTGTGACAGGAAGGTGATCGCCGACGCCAAACGTTCCGCCATTTATACCGCACGGCCTTCAGGATGAGCAGAAAACAGAGGGGCGCTTGAAGGTTTTAACAATTGTCATTCTTAAAATACGTTTTTATTTTTATTAAATAATATTTTCATTATCAAAAATAACAATGATGATGAAATACAAATAAAATGTTTTAAATTATATAAATGTATTCTTAATAATTATTATTATATAACTAATAGTAATAAAAATGTTATTTAAAATTTTTTTAATAATTTAAATATTTGTTATTTTAATAAAAACATTTTAGATTTTTTTACTATTAAATAGTAATCGTTATAATATTATTAAAAATATATTTCTATAATGTAAAACTAATATTTTATTACAATTATTAATCGGTAATAGTTATTATTAGCTTTAGTCCTATTTAATAATTGTAATAAAATGTTATTACAAAATACTTTTTTTTTTAATTTTAATAAAAAAATTTTTTTGTTTTTATTATTATATAGTAATAAAATTGCTGTTAAAAATGCATTTATATAATTAACATTTTCATTTTGCATTATATCATCATCGTTCATCAATATTGCTGAAAATAAAAATGTATTTTAATGATGATAATAAATGAGAGAAATAAAACATTCTCTTCTTCTATTACATATACATGAAGCCCGTCTCTAATATCTCAAGTAAGTTTTTTTTTTTTTAACATGTTAATCCAAATGAAAAAAAGGCTTTTTTTAAACCTTTTTGTTTTTCATTATAATTTCCGGTGATCCGGCATTGGCAGTCCTTGTTCAGGTACTTCCTGTTAGGGTGACAACACTGTCCCTGTCTCCCAATTGTGCTCCTGCGTTGTCACCCTAATGATAGTGTGACCATTTCAACACACATGACACAGACATGGGCTAGTGTTGTCACTCTCGGGAATCCTGACTTGAAAATTGCCTTTTAGGCACTTCCTGTTTTAGGGTGACAACGCTCGGTCCCTCACCCCCCCTGGTGGGTAATTTGCACCAGTAATAGAGCCATTAACATAATTTCCTGTCTGATGGTGACAACACCCACTTACACAATTGTACCAATGGAAGAGGACCTTCTACAAAGTTACAATGTTCAGTCTGATCACTGGGGGAGGGGAAGGGGAGACTGAGGAAATGCCTCCTCCTTCCACAAAGTTACAATGTACAGTCTGATCACTGGGGGAGGGGAGACTGAGGAGATAATTCCTCCTGCCTGCAGCAGACTGATGACATTGTGTGTGTAATATGTATGTAGTATTGTGTTTTAGTTTTTTTTATGTTGTTTTAATATTTTTTTTTTTTGTGCAGTATGTATGTAGTATTTGTAATATGTAGTTTTGTGTGTTTTTTTTATATTATGTTTTTGTTTTTTGTATTTTTTTTTTATGTTTGTTTATATTTTGTTAGTGTGTGTGTGTTTTAATTTAGTATGTTTTTTTTGTGTGTAATATGTTTTTTTTTTGTTTTTTTGTGTGTAATTTTTTTTTTTTTGTTTTTTTGTATGTTTTGTTGTTTTGTAATTTTTAGTATTTTGTTTTGTTTTTTTTGTTTTTGTGTGAAGTTGTGTGTAATTTAGTATGTGTGTGTGTGTAATATGTAGTTTATGTATGTAGTGTGTGTATGTGTTAATATGTAGTGTGTGTTTTTATGTTTTTTTATGTATGTAGTGTGTGTATGTGTAATATGTAGTATGTGTTTGTGTGTGTGTATAATTATGTAGTATGTGTGTATAATCCCCTGAAGGCTGGGAGGGGAACGCATTGATCAGCCAGCGAATCCGGAACACACCCTCAGCTGGGCTCGGCGCTGTGCGCCCCCCCCCCCCCGCGTCCCCCCCACCACCCACCTTCCGAGTTACGCTCGCTGGATGTTCTCATCTGTTCTTTCTGTAAAGTGGAACTCCGGGAATTTTACTAAAAAATACTCTTGTATGGGGTTCACCCCCCACCCATCCCCACCCCTCCATCCCCCCTATCCCCCCCCCCCCCCACACTGCAAGGGTTACAGCTTAAGTCTAGTTGTGGAGGGATGAGCCGTAATTCCCGATATATTCCCACCGCCCCTAACTCCGGGTCGTGGGCGTTCAATACAGAACAATTGGTCCTGCATTGTACGTGATGACGTCAGAGTGTGACTGCCGCAGGCTGGGAAAGGGAAGGAAGAACTGGAAGACTGTTGGTTGTGCTGCAAGGACATACATTAACAAGGAGCGTGCTGATAGGAGGACAGAACAGAGTGAGTGAGAGGATAACTTCATCATTCTTCTGCTGCTCACTCACTGTTCAGGCAGCAGGTCCAGAGAGGACGCCACTGTGTCCTTCAATTGCAAATGGTGCCATTTACCCAGATGTGCTTTGAGCAGAGCTCTTTAAATTGCAGGGCTGGATAGACAAATACAAATCGCTTTGGCAGCTAAACCGATACAATGGATACGTTTTTCATTTGTGTATTTAGAAATTTATTAAACGTTCAGTTTTTTTTTTTTCATTTTTTTTTTTTTGTATATTGTTTTTTTATATTTGATTTAAATTAATAAATGATCTGAAAAATAATACATTTTTAATATTTAAAATGATCAATTTGAATTAAAAAAAAATGTTTTTCCCATGTATTGGATTGTATAATATATACCTGCTGTGCAATATATTTGCTGTACATTGCTACAATGATTTTACTTTGGCTGGTTTTTATTATTTTTTTCTTTTTCATTTTTTTATTTATTATATTTTTATTTGTTTTTATATTTTATTGTATATTTGTTTTTTTAAAAACATTTTATTTTTAATTTTTTTAATATTAAACAATAAAATATAAATTAAAAAAAAAGTAAAACATAAAATAAATAAAATAAAAAAATAAAATAAAAAATAAATATTATTAAAATTAAAAAATAAAATATGAATAAAATTCAGCCGTAGTACAATCATTGTAGCAATGTACAGCAAATATATTTCAATTATTATTTTTTTATTTAATGGAATGCTATTAAGTTTCATTTTGTTACTCTTCGTTCTCCTTTGGTTTACCATTTCATAGCTGGCTGTTTCAGCTTGTTGGTTCTTTCAAGAACAGTCCAGTCTCAGGGCTGCAGTAAAACGATCCGTGTTAAGGCCGTCCTGATGCTTCACTGTTCAGGCCACATAAATAGAAGTCACAAATCCGGGATGTCGATGATTTGGTTCACCGAGATTTTTCTCTTTCTTTGCAGCCAGCACCGGTTTGATGGCGAACTCCTCCCCGTCTTTCATGGGCAGTTTCCTGAGCAGCAGCCTGGGTTCACCGGCAGCATCGGCACACCCCGCGGCAGCCTCCTCCTCTCCATCGGAAACCACCTACAGGGGGCCCCATGGGGCCAGCGCCTCCCAAATCTGGTTCTCACACTCCCATGAAGGTCAGTAATGAAATGCTTTGGCCTGTCCTGCGGAAAATGTTATTGCTGATGGACTTAAAGGAGTTTCCCACTTTGTGATGACTGCGTGCCTAGAACGTTTCTCGCCTCCATCTGTGGTGATGATGACATGATCTCATCCGGAATGGGAGCCGGATTTGGATGTTCTGTTCTTGGGCTGTAATGTAGAGTTGTGTTGAGTCCAGTGGACTGGCCCTGTTGGGGAGTTGTGGGGCCCCCGTCTAGTCCTACTGGAATGGAATTGGATTGAGCTGGTCTTGTCCGATGGTCAGGTCATGTATGGTGTAGTCATCTTCAGCTGGCGTCTAGTCCTCCTGGAATGGAATTGGATTGAGCTGGTCTTGTCCGATGGTCAGGTCATGTATGGTGTAGTCTTCTGCAGCTGGCGTCTAGTCCTCCTGGAATGGAATTGGGTTGAGCTGGTCTTGTCCAATGATCAGGTCATGTATGGTGTAGTCATCTTCAGCTGGCGTCTAGTCCTACTGGAATGGAATTGGATTGAGCTGGTCTTGTCCGATGGTCAGGTCATGTATGGTGTAGTCTTCTGCAGCTGGCGTCTAGTCCTCCTGGAATGGAATTGGGTTGAGCTGGTCTTGTCCAATGATCAGGTCACGTATGGTGTAGTCATCTTCAGCTGGCGTCTAGTCCTCCTGGAATGGAATTGGATTGAGCTGGTCTTGTCCGATGGTCAGGTCATGTATGGTGCAGTCTTCTTCAGCTGGCGTCTAGTCCTACTGGAATGGAATTGGATTGAGCTGGTCTTGTCCAATGATCAGGTCACGTATGGTGTAGTCATCTTCAGCTGGCGTCTAGTCCTACTGGAATGGAATTGGATTGAGCTGGTCTTGTCCGATGGTCAGGTCATGTATGGTGTAGTCTTCTTCAGCTGGCGTCTAGTCCTACTGGAATGGAATTGAGCTGGTCTTGTCCGATGGTCAGGTCATGTATGGTGCAGTCTTCTTCAGCTGGCGTCTAGTCCTCCTGGAATGGAATTGGGTTGAGCTGGTCTTGTCCGATGGTCAGGTCATGTATGGTGCAGTCTTCTTCAGCTGGCGTCTAGTCCTCCTGGAATGGAATTGGATTGAGCTGGTCTTGTCCGATGGTCAGGTCATGTATGGTGTAGTCTTCTTCAGCTGGTGTCTAGTCCTACTGGAATGGAATTGAGCTGGTCTTGTCCGATGGTCAGGTCATGTATGGTGCAGTCTTCTTCAGCTGGCGTCTAGTCCTCCTGGAATGGAATTGGATTGAGCTGGTCTTGTCCGATGGTCAGGTCATGTATGGTGTAGTCTTCTTCAGCTGGTGTCTAGTCCTACTGAAATGGAATTGAATTGAGCTGCTCTTGTCCGATGGTCAGGTCATGTATGGTGTAGTCTTCTTCAGTTGGCGTCTAGTCCTCCTGGAATGGAATTGGGTTGAGCTGGTCTTGTCCAATGGTCAGGTCATGTATGGTGCAGTCTTCTTCAGCTGGCGTCTAGTCCTCCTGGAATGGAATTGGGTTGAGCTGGTCTTGTCCAATGGTCAGGTCATGTATGGTGCAGTCTTCTTCAGCTGGCGTCTAGTCCTCCTGGAATGGAATTGGGTTGAGCTGGTCTTGTCCGATGGTCAGGGCATGTATGGTGCAGTCTTCTTCAGTTGGCGTCTAGTCCTCCTGGAATGGAATTGGATTGAGCTGGTCTTGTCCGATGGTCAGGTCATGTATGGTGCAGTCTTCTTCAGCTGGCGTGGTCCAATGAAGGTTTAAAGCCTCCATATTGTCCTATCAGATGCTTTGTATCTCTATGGAGAGGCTAAACCAGCATTTTCGGTGGAATGGGATGGTGTAACCATTCAGGATATGGTATCCCAAAAATAAGAATTAGCTTTCATTTTTGGACAGTGGGAGGAGCCATGCAAATAATTTGCTTTATGCCTCATCACCCAGATCTGCTGGTGTATGGGCAAAAAAGATTGCTTTAGTCATTTCTCACCATGATCTGTACGGTTATATTGTCTCGTTGGGTTCCATGCCTTACCCAGTAAAAGCCAGAGTGTCCATATACTGCACTGAGGATGGCCCAAAGCTTGTAACAGTTGGATGCAGTTTGGGATAAATGGCCCTATAGGATCCATTCTCAACCAACGTTCCATGGAACCCCAAGGTTCCTTTTATTGGTAATGGTTCCTTCAGCTGTGGCAGATAGACCTCCCACCCCGGGACCAACACCCTCCTGATATGTAACCACGACTCCAATGATCTATTTAGCAGTCTGTAATGTTGGCATTCTGACCATTACTGGGGTGTTCTTCCCACTGATCCCCAATGTAAGGGACATTCTTCCCACTGATCCCCAATGTAGGGACATTCTTCCCACTGACCCCCAATGTAAGGAACATTCTTCCCACTGACCCCCAATGTAAGGGACATTCTTCCCACCAACCCCCAATGTAAGGGACATTCTTCCCACCGACCCCCAATGTAAGGGACATTCTTTCCACTGACCCCCAATGTAAGGGACATTCTTCCCACTGATCACCAATGTAAGGGACATTCTTCCCACTGATCACCAATGTAAGGGACATTCTTCCCACTGACCCCCAATGTAAGGGACATTCTTCCCACTGACCCCCCAATGTAAGGGACATTCTTCCCACCGACCCCCAATGTAAGGGACATTCTTCCCACCGACCCCCAATGTAAGGGACATTCTTCCCACTGACCCCCAATGTAAGGGACATTCTTCCCACTGATCACCAATGTAAGGGACATTCTTCCCACTGACCCCCAATGTAAGGGACATTCTTCCCACTGACCCCCCAATGTAAGGGACATTCTTCCCACCGACCCCCAATGTAAGGGACATTCTTCCCACCGACCCCCAATGTAAGGGACATTCTTCCCACTGACCCCCAATGTAAGGGACATTCTTCCCACTGACCCCCAATGTAAGGGACATTCTTCCCACTGACCCCCAATGTAAGGGGCATTCTTCCCACTGACCACCAATGTAAGGGGCATTCTTCCCACTGACCCCCAATGTAAGGGACATTCTTCCCACTGACCCCCAATGTAAGGGGCATTCTTCCCACTGATCACCAATGTAAGGGACATTCTTCCCACTGACCCCCAATGTAAGGGACATTCTTCCCACTGACCCCCAATGTAAGGGACATTCTTCCCACTGACCCCCAATGTAAGGGACATTCTTCCCACTGACCCCCAATGTAAGGGACATTCTTCCCACTGACCCCCCCAATGTAAGGGACATTCTTCCCACTGATCACCAATGTAAGGGACATTCTTCCCACTGACCCCCAATGTAAGGGACATTCTTCCCACTGACCCCCAATGTAAGGGACGTTCTTCCCACTGACCCCCAATGTAAGGGACGTTCTTCCCACTGACCCCCAATGTAAGGGACGTTCTTCCCACTGACCCCCAATGTAAGGGACATTCTTCCCACTGATCACCAATGTAAGGGACATTCTTCCCACTGACCCCCCCAATGTAAGGGACATTCTTCCCACTGACCCCCCCAATGTAAGGGACATTCTTCCCACTGACCCCCAATGTAAGGGACATTCTTCCCACTGACCCCCAATGTAAGGGACATTCTTCCCACTGACCCCCAATGTAAGGGACATTCTTCCCACTGACCACCAATGTAAGGGACTTTCTTTCCACTGACCCCCAATGTAAGGGACATTCTTCCCACTGACCCCCAATGTAAGGGGCATTCTTCCCACTGACCCCGAATGTAAGGGACATTCTTCCCACTGACCTCCAATGTAAGGGACATTCTTCCCACTGACCACCAATGTAAGGGACATTCTTCCCACTGACCTCCAATAAGTTGGTTTTAATAGAGGCTTCCCAAGACTGGACATTCCCTTACGGGTTCCTAGTGAAGTAAAGAGATTGAAGAAGCTGCTGTACAGTATTGGGCCATATTTGCGTTCGTCACCCGTGGTTCTGCAGATAGAATGTGAAAGACCAAATGCCCCTCACATCTGTGTCCCCCAAATGTCCATATTTAGTGGCTTGGAGAACTTCCATTTGCTGTCTCAGTGACAACTTCTCTCATTTCCTGTACAGGTGTCACCGGGTCAGGAAATGAGGCAAACATTTCCCCAACAGGAACAGCGCTAAATATAAATCTGATGGAAATGTTATCTCTTCCCCTCGCTCCCGAATACTGAAAATGGCAGTTAGGTCCCACTGGAGGCATTATGTACAGATTGTTTATGGGGCTAGAGGATGAATCGTATTATTGTAACCATCTCTGTTGGTCAGTAAACATCAGGTTGTTGTGTGTCAGGTCTACAGATAGGATAAAGAATTGCCGTGTTACCTCCAATGGTCGGGTTCTGTTGGAAGAACAATGGCCTGCCCTCCTGTTATACTTGCATTATGATCACTCTCAATGGTCGGGGTCTCTTGGAGGAACAATGGCCTGCCCTCCTATTATACTTGCATTATGATCACTCCCAATGGTCGGGTTCTGTTGGAGGAACAATGTCCTGCTGTCCTATTATACTTGCTTTATGATCACTCCCAATGGTCGGGTTCTGTTGGAGGAACAATGGCCTGCCCTCCTATTATACTTGCATTATGATCACTCCCAATGGTCGGGTTCTGTTGGAGGAACAATGTCCTGCTGTCCTATTATACTTGCTTTATGATCACTCCCAATGGTCGGGTTCTGTTAGAGGAACAATGGCCTGCCCTCCTATTATACTTGCATTATGATCACTCCCAATGGTCGGGTTCTGTTGGAGAAACAATGGCCTGCCCTCCTATTATACTTGCATTATGATCACTTCCAATGGTCAGGTCATGGTCAAGTTGGAGGTTTTGTGTCCTATAAAGAGATTATTATAATAGGACTGTGATAATCATATTGTTGGTGTGCTATTCTATAGAATATAATAAAATGGAGTTCTGATCATGCCCAATGGTCGGGTCATGGTCACGTTGGATGAAGAACGTTTCATGTAATAGAACGGTGATAATCACATTGTTGGTGCTTTATTCTATAGAATATAATGACATTACATTATGTCAATGAAGGAGGAGTTGTATTTGGTGTTGGACTAGACTCCAGAGTGTTACAATAACCTGACCAGTAGATGTGATCATCACACAATCCTATTCTTCGGGTCGTATTATCACCCTGTCCTATGGTTGGGCTACATTGGTGGTGCGTCGCTCTATCTTATCTAGTGTAATAGATATGTGTTCCAGTTGTGTACATTGGTCAGGTCCTGTTGGAGGTATCATGCCATCAAGTCACCCTGAAACAGAATTACATGATTATGTACAATAGTTGGGTGGCGTTGGAGGCATTGTATTGTATGAATAGTGGTCATGGGCATTGGTCAGGTTATGGTGGAGGTGTTCCTATGTTGATATTGGCTTCTTTGATATCTCAGTCCCAAATTGATTTACCCGTCTGTATTGCTACAACATCCTCCACCCTTCTGGGAAGATTTTCCAGAAGATTTTGGAGGGTGTCTGTGGGAATGTGTGCCCATTTATGAGGGTAGGTACTGATGCTGGAGAAGACCTGGCTCATAAGAATTCTAATCCATCCCAAAGGTGTTCAGTAGGTTGAGGTCAGGGCTCTGTACAGGACACTGGAGTTCCTTCACACCAAACTGGTCATCCATGTCTTTATGGAGCTGGCTTTGAACATGGGGGGCAGTCAGGGGGGACAGAAAAGGGTCTTCACCAAACTGTTACCACAAGGCTGGAGGAGCACAATTGTCTCCAATGTCTTTGTATGATGAAGGATTACCAGGACCCTTAACTGGAGACATCTGAAAACCATTATTGAGATGGGGACAGTCATGGTGGATCAGAAAAGTGTCTTCACCAAACTGTTACCAAAATGTAGATGATTGTGCTCTTCTGACCTTGTTGTAACAGTTTGGTGAAGACACTTTTCTGATCCACCATGAGTGTACCCATCTTAATAATGGTTTTCAGGTATCTCCAGTGACTGGTCCTGGTAATCCTTCATCATACAAAGACATTGGGGACAATTGTGCTCTTCCAACTTTGTGGTAACAAATTGGTGAAGACCCTTTTCTGTTCCTCCATGGCTGTCCCCTGTATATAAAGCCAGCTCCATAAAGACATGGATGACCAGTTTAGTGTGGAGGAACTCCAGAGTCCTGTACAGAGCCCTGACCTCAACCTACTGATCCCCTTTGTAATTAATTGGAAAGCTGATTGTGAGCCAGATCTTCTCATCCAACATCAGTACCTGACCTCACAAATGCTCTACTGAGTGTACAAAGGCAGCAAAATGTTCCAATTCATCCCAAAGATGTTCGGTAGGGATGAGGTCGGGGCTCTGCACAGGACACTGGAGTTCCTCCACACTAAACTGGTCCTCCATGTCTTTATGGAGCTGGCTTTGTACACAGGGGACAGTCATGGGGGACAGAAAAGGGTCTTCACCAAACTCTTACCACAATTCTGGAAGATCACAATTGTCTCCAATGTCTTTGTATGATGATGGATTACCAGGACCCGTCACTGGAGACACCTGACCTCCATCATTGGGCTGGGTTAGAAGCATTTTACCTACACAATGATATAGTAACATATTACCATCATGTCCTTTGGTCTGGTCCTATTCCAGGTGTAATGTCCAATATCTCTAGTCATCCGATAACAACGGCACTATGATCTTGTCCAGTGGTCGAGTCGTGCTGAATGTGTTGTATGAATAGAATGTAATACATTTGTATTATGGTTCTGCTCAGTGGTTGGATCGTGTCAGGTCATAGTTGTTCTCTATGTTGGTATAGAGGACAAAAAAAGAACCAGACTCTAGATCCAATCAGATCCAATCCAAATACAATTATAATTCTAGAGTTTAATTGATGCATTATCCTCTCGTCCAATGGTGATGCCACGTTGGGGGTGCAGCGCTCTCTCTGAAAGTAGCGTATTATCATTGCGTCCAATGGTGAGGCCATGTTGGGGGTGTAGCGCTCTCTGATAGTAACGTATTATGATTGTGTCCAATGGTGGGGCCATGTTGGGGGTGTAGTTCTCTCTCTGATACTAATGTATTATGATTGAGTCCAATGGTGGGACCATGTTGGGGGTGCAGCGCTCTCTCTGATACTAACGTATTATTTTTGCGTCCAATGGTGGGGCCATGTTGGGGGTGTAGCGCTCTCTGATAGTAACATATTATTATTGAGTCCAATGGTGGGACCATTTTGGGGGCGTAGTTCTCTCTCTGATACTAATGTATTATGATTGAGTCCAATGGTGGGGCCATGTTGGGGGTGTAGCGCCCTCTCTGATAGTAACGTGCTATGATTACGTCCAATGGTGGGGCCATGTTGGGGGTGTAGCGCTCTGATAGTAACGTATTATGATTGAGTCCAATGGTGGGGCCATGTTTGGGGAAGAACCGTTTTGATACCTTTATGGAAACCTAGTCTTAGAATAACGCCGAGGCCTTGAGAAGCGCCCCTCCTCTTCCCTGCCGCCAGCCGCGGATCTGTTCACACCACATCCAAATCACATGGTAGACGCGTTGCGTGTTCTGTCAGCATCGTCATCTCTCACCTATTCTGTCTGGAATCTCCAACAATAAAGCTTGTCTAAACTCTGGGCCTGCAGTCAGCCTGCACTCACCCTGCACTCAGCCTGCACTCAGCCTGCACTCACCCTGCACTCAGCCTGCACTCACCCTGCACTCACCCTGCACTCAGCCTGCACTCAGCCTGCACTCAGCCTGCACTCAGCCTGCACTCACCCTGCACTCAGCCTGCACTCACCCTGCACTCAGCCTGCACTCACCCTGCACTCAGCCTGCACTCACCCTGCACTCACCCTGCACTCACCCTGCACTCAGCCTGCACTCAGCCTGCACTCAGCCTGCACTCAGCCGCCCTCAACTCCTCTCCACGAAAACACGCTTGGCGGCATTGTCTCTGTGGGACACCTGCAGGCCGCCGGCTCCATCCAATCATCTGCAGGCTGAGACCAGATAACCTCTGACCCGCGCCTCAGAACAATAATTATTCTATTTATCTTTCCCAAGATAATTAAAGGAGAGCCGAAGTTCAGATAAAAATCACAGGTTGGGCGACTCAACATGCACAGTGCAGCTCGCAGCAGCCTTCAGGACTGAGGGGGTGCATTGTGGGAAAATCGAATCATTCATTTAATATTTATCCCCATCCACAGAACTGTAAGAAATAGAAGATATTAAAATGATAGAGAACAGCACTAAATATTGAAACATTGTATACATCACATACAACATGAAGACACGGGGGGGGGGGGGGTGTAGGGGGGGGGGGCACTTCAGTAGCTTTATAATCTGCAGGAGTAAATTCCAGACTTTTCACAAATATTCAGCAACTGGAAAGTTACATTTTTTTAACCATTTTAGAAAACCATTCTGAGCTCCAGTCCAGTGATGCTGCCTAGGCTCCCGTCTGCTGCAGGCTGTAAGACACATAACCTCAGTCTCCTCCATCGTGAGGAGGGAATAGAACCAACATAGTGGAAATTTCTGTTTCTGCTGCCCGATATTTCTTTCTTTTTTTTTTTTTTAACAAATAAAACAAAGTTTGTAGTCCATTGAGTCCAGCGTTGTCCTCCGTTCTTAGACTGATATCCTGTTCATGTGCCGAGATAACTGCAGGTCCCTGACAGGTCCCATAGACTTGCAGAGACCCAATGCCTCCCACACATGCGCAGAGTTTCCCAGTTTTTAATGCATTCGCAAACATGATGTTCGTCTTTCCGGTCTGGTGGACTGAC